GTACATAAACGTGCAGAACATGGGCACGCCATATGGCTGGAACAACTGTATGGCTGAGTATTAAAGGTCATCAAGGGGACTGGGGGGGTTTGTACATAAACGTGCAGAACATGGGCATGCCATATGGCTGGAACAACTGCATGGCTGAGTATTAAAGGTCATCAAGGGGACTGGAGTATAAGTACCAAACTAGGGGAAAAGGTGCTTCTTTGGGTTAAGTACCAAACTAGGGGAATAGACTAAACCAAACTAGGGGAATAGACTAAGTACCAAACTAGGGGAATAAGCTAAGTAAAACTTGGGGAATAGACTAAGTACCAAACTAGGGGAATCAACTAAGTACTAAAGTACCAAACCAGGGGCTATGAAACCGTATGAGCGTGCTTTATGCACCCCCCCCCTCCCCCCCCTCTCCCCGCGCTCAAAGCGCTCAAAGCGTGTGCACCTGAGGGTGTTGCGTGAGTGCAGGGGATGCCGTAGGGAGGGTTGCGCGAGTGCAGGGGATCATCTAGGGGAATAGACTGAGTACCAAACTAGGGGAATAGACTAAGTACCAAACTAGGGGAATAGACTAAGTACCAAACTAGGGGAATAGACGAAGTACCAAACTAGGGAAATAGACTGAGGACCTGGTTACAGTATGTTTGACTATTATGAATAGTCAGATAACTGAGCTGCTGTGGAGAACTTGTACTATGGAGATGGAAGTGGCGGGGTAAAGAGAGAGAACATAGGTGGTTAGCTAGGCAGGAGGAGTGAGGGAGCTACCTACGTACCTATCTTGTTCCCAAGGTTATAAATTTGAGGTACACACTACTAGTGTGCGGTGGGTGCGATGTGCCCCCCCCACTCCATCTCTCTCTTCAATCAAACTGTGTCCATCTTTCTCTCTTCAATCAAACGGTGTCCATCTTTCTCTCTTCAATCAAACTGTGCTTTGTTAGTTTCTGTTCTTTCATTCAGGCTGCATGGCCTATATAAAAGACGTGTGTTGAAGCAAATGATCAAAAGAAATGTGCTGAAGGAAATGATCAAAAGACATGTCATTCATACAATTTAGCACAAAATGTGAGGCTTTACTCTCGAGGAGGACATAATGTGCTACAAAAATGATGTACTGGAAAGCATGCTGCACAAGTATGCGAGCAGCCTCCAGCATCGCCCTTCTGCCTCGTCCACTCAGGCGACGTAAATCCTCTGCTATACTGAATATATAGTTATCTCCTAGGCTTCATCCGTGTCCAAAAATTTTCCAGTCCTTCACTCCACCTACCTTGCATCCTCATTTCATAATCACCCCAATCGTACCGTTCGATCCAGAGCTTTCTGTAGGCCCTAGTGCCATGATGCTTCCGAAGCTTGTCGTAACTCGTATCCCGGAGGTGGCCGTAGGCTAGTTTCCAGTGCGCTTTCCGTGTTGAAGGAAATGATCAAAAGAACGGTTTCAGTGCGCTTTCCGTGTTGGTCTTCTGTATTGCTATCATTTGTTTCCCAAACTTCACTCCTTTATGACTATATATATAGATATAATATGTATTTATTTAAACAGAATTAAGCTGATAGTAAAAATTTAAATCTATCATTACTTTTATATTTAAATAGAAGTAAGCATAATGAGAGAGATGTTAAAAAAAAAAACATTTCAACATAAGAGAATATATAGAATCATTATAGATATAATGTATATATAGATGTATCAATTGTCCGTTGATGCTTAACCACAGCCGGGGTTAAGGTGGATTATCACTTACAGCGTAATCAGTCAGGTAGGGGATTCTGCAGACTGTTGAGGGTTCAGCCTCTCTGCCTACGGTTTACGGGGCAGCTCTGTTTTGACGATATGTATAAATTTTTGTCACAGCGAATTGCTCGTTGAGCAGTAGGCAGAAAGGGGAAAAAGGAGAAAAGGAAAGGAAAGGGAAAAAGGGGACTGACTGTCACTGGGGGTTGTGGCAGACTGTTTGTCGGGTTCCACCAACTCATCAGGATGGATGTATTGTAAGAAGAATGTCTTGATGAGCTAGCGACTGCTGGAGCATGGGGCTTCGCTGGTAATATGGCTGTGCCAACGTCAGGATGAATCTGGCCAATTTAACGACCAGGTACTTGCTGGCTTAGTAGACAGACACATCACTGTGTGGTGCCCAGCACCCTGAAAACTCATGGATGAAAGTTGTACTTTGCTATAGCGATGGTGATACCACTTTGAGTGGCCTTTCTCTTCTTTTGTTTTCTTTTTTTTTTTTTCTTTTTTTTTTTTTTGAAATAATAACAGGGTGGATGGGTGTTTTCACTGTTTTGCTATTTTGCTTTCTGAATTCTGGCAGGCTGGAGTGAGCCAGATCCCATTTGGAACAGGAGCAGCCCCTTTTGAACCTGAGCCTCATCGCGGCAGGTAATCTAGTTACACATCTCTTCAAAAAAAA